CTTTAATTTAAGGTATATATAAAAGTGTCAGACCTTCCGGAACATTTTCAAAAGTTAAGTTGAAAAAGTTAATTTTTTGTGAAAAAAGTTGTCATTTTAAATCCCCTCTGTGGGGAGCAAAAAGGTCAAATTTACAAAAAAAATATACCAAATGATAAATAAAGACATCAAGCATCTATAAAAAAAAAATATATTGATATGTTCATTTTTGAAAAAGTTACGGCAGTTTTTAGTAAAATAAATTGAAAAAATTTCGAAAATTAGCGATTTTTAAATTTGTCATTTTTTTGGAGGTTTCCCCCATTTACGGGGAACGAGGGAAATTTTTTCAATTTTTAAGGGTAATGTCTTCGACTAGATACGATTTGTGATCTTTTGACGTATCGTTGAAAGAAATCCGTTCGGTGAGAGCTGAGAAAAAGTGGTAACAGACACAAAAAAAAAAAAAATAAAAAATAAAATAAAAAAAAAACACATCTTAGTAAAACCAATACCTTCTCAGCTTCGCATCGAAGCTAAAATTTGACCTCTGGACTTGTTTTCATAGCAAAAATGACTACCGAATGCTATTTTCGTGTGAAAATTCTCGATTTTATTTTTTATATTTTTAACTTTATAATGCTATAACTTATTGAAAAGTGTATGGATCAACACAATTTTTTTATGAGAAATAATATTTTTTAATAATCCATTTTTCATTCGACATACTTGATCTTAATCAAGATATTAATAAGGAACTAGCAGATCATGTAGCTTTTGGAATAATACACCAATTTTTTTTAAATTAAACACAATCTAAAGATTTGCATCGAAGCGTTTAATTTTTATAGTGATTTTAATCACTGTCAGATATCATTATACTTGATCCAACTATACCATGGCATCACTTTGCCGCTACCCTCCTGTGCTGGGTTTTTTAAACCAATTTTTTCCCCTCCTTCAGCAAGATATCTGCTGTAACTTTTTTACATACCATTATTAAATTTCATAAATAATCATCAGTTCCGTATGAATAGTCCAATGGTGCATACTCATTTACTACGCACTCAAGTATCTCCTCGCACAATACCAAACAGATCATATACAAGCTTCTGGTATTTCCTCAACTCTAAATAACATCCCCACACACATATTTGCAGTATATTGTCCCCCACGCCAAGTCATCACTCTAACTCAATCAGTAACTTTTCCCTTACGCTTGGACAATAATTCATAATAGGTGGCGACATCAATGCAAAAAACACACACTTGGGCTATCGTACAAACAATCTTCGTGGAAACGTACTCAATCTCCTTACTCAAACTCCAAAACTATAAAATTCATACTCCTCACTCATCCACTTACTTGACAATCTCATCCCGAACCAGATATTCACGATTTTTT